GAGCCAGGAGGGCTTGGTGGGGCACACTATGTAGGCGAAGGCTGAGAGGTGGGAGAGAACCCAGCCGCCTGGGATGGGAGGCTGGCTGGGGCCGTCCCGATGGAGCGTTGGGACATCGAGGGGAGAGGGGAGTGTGGCCTGGCCTGGCCTGACTGCACCCTACCCCACATGCCAGGCAAACCTCGAAGAACCCATGGCGCTGCAGGAGCTGGACTCAAGCAACGGGGCCCTGCTGCCCTTCTATGACCCTGACACCAGTGTGGTGTACGTGTGCGGCAAGGTGAGGCTGGGCAGGCCTGGTGGACGGGGAGGAGGGATGCCCGAGCACTGAGACCTGGTCCCGCCCACCCCACAGGGCGACTCCAGCATCCGGTACTTTGAGATCACAGACGAGTCCCCCTACATCCATTTCCTGAACACGTTCACCAGCAAAGAGCCCCAGAGGGGCATGGGCAGCATGCCCAAGCGGGGCCTGGAGGTCAGCAAATGCGAGATCGCCCGGTAAGAGGGACCATCTAGGCAGCTGGCTTTGGGGGTGAGGGGGTGGCCCAGGGGCAGGGTTGAGAGGTCAAATTATAGAAGACTGCTTAGGAGGCCCCGGGGGTAGGGGTCAGTCTTGGAGGGGCTGGGTGAGGACTGGGAGTGGGGAGTAGAGGGAGCCACAAGAGCTGGTAGGGGTTCCATGGCTCCTCCTCCCTCCCTTTTCCAGGTTCTATAAACTGCATGAGCGCAAGTGTGAGCCCATTGTCATGACTGTGCCAAGAAAGGTGAGGCCACCCAGTTCCCCCGTCCTACCCGACAGTGTGTGGGCACCCACTCCCTTCTCCAGCAGACAGGCCATGTGGGGTGAGGCCTGTGAATGAGACATGGCTGGGTGTGGGTGCAGTCAGTGGGCTGGGCAAACACCAGGGTGTCCCCAGGTGTTGGGCTGTCCTGGGCAGGGACAAGCCGAGATAAGGGTGAGAGCCAAGGCCCTGCTCTGGATGAACCACAGGAGACAGCCAGGAGGGCTTCTCGTCGGAGGCCGGCTGGCAGTGTGGCTAGGGCAGGGCCCTCCAGTGGTGGGCAGTCGGCCAGGCACAGGGCACAGAGCTGGGAATGGAGAGGGGCAGGGAGTCTGGCTGCAGCGGAGGCCCCATGAGGCTGGGGCTCAGATGCCCAGCCAAGAGCTTTGGACGGGTTTCCTCCTTCTCCAGCCAGCATTTGCTGAGTGACCATTCAGTGCCAGGCACGTCCCAGGGAGCCGAGCTGTGAACCAGACTGACAGGGCTGTCCCAGGCGCTCACAGTCCCTGGGCACAGCCATGACGCCCAGAATCCCACCAAGCCCTGCTTAGGAAGGTTGGGGAAGGCTTCAGAAGGAGCAGTTGGCGGTGTCCAGAAGGGAAGTAAAGGGACAGACTGAGCTTAGACAGGTGGTGACTCGGGGCCAGGCCACTGGGGAATGGGTTAACAGGGTGCAGGCCTGGAGGCCAGGAGAGTGATGAGGAGGTGGCCACCTAGAGTCCAGACAAAAGGACGCTGATGGTGGGCCCCCAGCTGATCCCGACCTCCCTCACCCCCTGCCCAGTCGGACCTCTTCCAGGATGATCTGTACCCCGACACGGCAGGGCCCGAGGCGGCCCTGGAGGCGGAGGAGTGGGTGAGCGGGCGGGACGCAGACCCCATCCTCATCTCCCTGCGGGAGGCCTACGTGCCCAGCAAGCATCGGGACCTGAAGGTCAGCCGGCGCAACGTGTTATCAGACAGCCGGCCTGCCGTGGCCCCTGGCTCCACTCGCCCAGGGGCCTCCACACCTGCAGCCTCCAATACAACCGCCCCCAGCAGCAGCCTCGCCGGAGCTGGGGTACGTGCTGGTGGTCTGGGTGGTGTTGGGAAGCCCCGGTGTGCTGTGTGTGCCTGAACCATTTGCTGTTTCTCCCTGAGCCTCAGGCCCCTCCCTGCCTGGTAGTTGATTTAGGGAGCCCCCCCCCCCCCCCCCCCCCATCTCCCTGCAGGAGGCTGGTAAGCTGGAGGAGGTGATGCAGGAGCTGCGGGCACTCAGAGCACTGGTCAAGGAGCAAGGGGAGCGGATTGGCCGCCTGGAGGAGCAGCTGGGTCGCATGGAGAATGGGGACGCATAGGACCACAGGCCACAGGCCCAATGGATGCCATTCCCACCTCACCTCCTCCTCCTCCTCTACCCCCTCCTCACTCAGCCTCTGCTATCAGGTCACGCTGCTGGCTGGCTGTCCCCTGTCCCCTGCCCCCTGCTGAGGGCCTCTGGGGCAGGTTCAAGGGCCAGTCCACACCCTGACCCATCCTGTGGCCCAGGATGGAGCTGCCTGGCTTTTGTCATTGTTACTGTGGAGGATTTTTGTACCAACACAAGCTTATATTCTGAGGGACCATCTCCCCACTCCTGCCCATTCCCCGCTCCCTCCTTGGAGGAGTAGGAGGGATGGGCTCTATATTTTCATTCCAAATAAAATTCTCTTTCTAAAAGCCAGGTTTGCCATTCTGCTGCCGGTGGGGCTGGGAAAAGGAAAGGGGACAGTTGAGGCTGCAGGAATCCTCAACTTGAGAAAGGTCTGGGGGTCATGAGCATCCCCCACCGTCAGCTTCCCTGAATTCTTCCCTGAAGACTGAGGCAAAAGACACGTGGGAACCTTTAGGGCCATATCCTGCTGAGCTGGCTGCCCCCTTCCTCTTCTTGGAGGCCTGGTCACAGGCTCCACAGCACAGCCTGGCCCAGCGAGAGGCCTGTGAGGGTCAGGGTGGTCCCAAGAGGCTCAAGGGGCCTATGGCAGAGAGGGCTGGGTGGGGTATCGTGGGCAGGAAGCGGAAGCGTCAACCCCTAGCTGCACTTGAGCGCGAGCTCACTTTTCACTCGGTGCTGTTGGAGCTAGAGGTGGGCACCCAGCGCTGAGCAGCCTGCGGACCCATGGTGAGCGTTGGAGCCCGCTGGGTCCTTGGGTGGGGGTGACAGGAGGTCAGAGGGAGTTAAGGAAGGATTCCCTCTCTGGGGCTAAAAGCAACCCGTCCCGGCAGAGGACAACAGAGAGCCAGGACAGGTGTGGGGCAGAAGCTGGGCCTTTCTCTCCCTTCACCTCAGAGCTGGGCCTCCCTGGGACTCGGGTTGTGACACAGACCTGCTTAAAGACCCCCGGAGAGACCCTCCCCTGCTCTGCTGGTGAGCCTGCCTGGGAGGGAGTCTTGCTTGTACCTCTGCACCCCTCCCCCAACACCCCCACCTGCCTTGTTCCAACCGCAGGCTTCCTCTGGCAGCTGCACCCGCCTCCCCCAGCCTCTGAGGCCCCCAGGGACAGAGTTAAACTGAACGGAAATGCTGCAGCTGGGGCAGTGGCAGAGCTGGGGGAAGAGGAGTCTCAGGGACCCCCTTCCTGGGACCTGGCCAAGTGGACAGTTGCCTTGGGACTGGTTCCTCCATCCCAGGCCTCGGGAAAAGCCAGCCCCAACACCAACCTTGCAGGCTCCCTCCGTCCCCACCCTGCCCGCCCTGGCAGTGTTTGACAGTCGACCATTTATCGAGCACCTACTATGTGCCAGGAATTTTTTAGGTGCTTGAGCCAGAAAGATCCCTGTCTTCCTGCAGTTAATTCTGGTGGGGGGAAGATAAACCTAATAAACAAGCAGCATTCCTATTGGGCTAGGAGTGGGGGGTGGGTAGTGGAGCTGGGCTGGGCTGCAGGGGTGAGGTCAGGGTGGTGATCCAGGTCAGGTTAGGCCTCACTGAGGTTCTCGGAGCTAAGGTGAGAGGCGAGCCATGTGGCTGGCAGGAAGGGGAGGAGGGACGGGACCTTCCCGGCAGAGTCCTCCCTCTGAGCCCCCACAGCAGCAGGCTTAGAAGGTGCAGTGGGAGGAAGGTGGACAGGTCTCAGGGCAAGAACCTTGTTGACAAGCAAAGACTTGGGCTTTTCTGCTCAACGGTCCCCATTTTGCCCAAAAGGCAACCCAGGACCCAGTCACCCAGCCTGCCCGTGGCCTGGGGATGAGCCCTGCCTGTCTCCCCACAGGACCGGCCCTGTGCCCTCGGGCTTGGGACGCTGCTGGCCCTGCCAGGGGTCCTGGGCTCCGGCGGCAGTGCCCAGGACACGGTGGGCTCCAGCTCTGTCACTGTGGTCCTGCTGCTGCTGCTGCTCCTCCTGCTCGTCACTGCCCTGGCCCTGGCCTGGCTCCGCCTCAGCAGAGACTCTGGAGGCTACTACCACCCGGCCCGCCTGGGGGCTGGGCTGTGGGGCCG